GTGTCGGTGTGTTGAGAATCAATATTTACGTAAATTTGGGTGGAGGCGATGGGGATCAATTTTTATCAGACATAATCTGACATACATAATCATTTTTAAAATAGTTGCTTAAATCAGTTAAGAGCTAACATAATCAGCTAATTGCTTAATCGTCAATGTTTCTAAGCCATCCATGATTATCATTAATAACTAGGGTACTTTGGATGAATTGGGTGATTAAACACGTTGAGAGTACTTACAGAATTTACTCTCTAATCTTTATATATCATATACAGCGTGGCCCATTTAAAGGCGAGACCCCTCGTATAATTTGTATGTATTGTCCTATTTTGACAATTCTAAAAAATTGTAGAGTGGAAACAGTTTTTTACCATAGGACAAAATGTCACATTTTACAATTTATTCACCACTAAATTAGGCACGCTTCGAAATGGGTATATACCGCAAATAATTCAATGGTTTCAAAATGCTGAAATGAAGGGAAAAAATACATAAGATATTTGATTACTAAATCACTCCCATACTAGATTTTAAAGTCTATTACAGCCTTGGCCATAAGTATTAAGCACCCAGGTTAACTTTGGAAATATCAAATTAAAATAAATTGGAACAACTTGTATAGGTTTATGTTTATTGTTAACAAAAAATTAATACTTAGAAGGCCCACCTTTTGCCTTAATCAGGGCCAAAATTCTTTTTGGTAAAGAGGACACAAGTTTTTTACAGTCTTCGGAACTTATATTACTTCTTTTGAATAAATAGTATGACGCCTAACATTACGCTTCAATAAACCCCATTAATGCTCTATGGGGTTTAGATCCGGAGATTGGACAGGCTAGTCCAGGAGCTCTGTATTATATTCTCGAAACCAAGTCATTGTGCGGATAGCTTTGTGGCATGTTGCGTTATCTTGTTGAAATTTAACGCCGTCCAAGTTTACACTACCACAGCGTTGGATAGAGTCTTTTAAAAGGTGTACATGTTCTGATGCGCTTGACCCTCGTAAAATTCAATTTGGAATCGTAACTTATCTGGTAATAGGCAAAAATAAATAAAAAACCGATTGGGTTGGGTTAATAATTTTTATACATTATGTTATATTTAGGCATGCAGAAACTTAGAGCTATGTAGTTCTTCTAATCTTCGCAACAATGTATAGGGAAATATTTGAAGTGACCCTATTATATCTGTTAAGTTAAGTGTCTCTTATATATGATAGTATTTGTTACACTTTTTAGTTATGAAAAATACTGAACGCGTAATTGTGTGTAAAAACATATTTTCAATATTGTCGTGTCGTACATAAGAAATAAGTAATGTTATCCTAATTTTCTGTGAAAGGAGTCTGCGAAGGGTGTATCTAACAACTCTATAATGGAGTTGTATGTCTTAACCACTCACAGAATTCATCATTATGATCATCACCTGTGGCGCTACAACCCTTTGTGAATCTTGGCAACCCAAAGTTTCCTCTTCCATTAATCTTTATTCCGCGTAACTGTCCTCCAACCTTGGCCCCGTCTTCTGTTATCTCATCCTCCCACCTGAGTTTAATCTTCGCCGTTTCCACATTCTTTGTGGTTTAGCATGCATGATCTTTCTCGGCACATATGTATGATCTCCAATCGTTAGATCTTAATTTTGTCCTTGACATCTGATTTTTCTGTAGAAGATGAGCAGAAGGTCGGCGTCTGGCCAGTGTATAAGGTGTTATAAACTATTAACTTTGTTTTCCAACTCATTTTACATCTGGAAAATTGTTTGCGCAACGCATTACAGCACTTGTTGCCTAACATGGTCCGCCTTTCCACTTCTACGCAACAAATATTCTACAAGTTCACGTTGGAACCAAGGTACTTACTAACAGGTGGACTTGAAGTCGATGAACATATCGAATGTTTAGGTTTTAACAGTTGGCCTAGAACAAATATTTGGTTCATCGTTCCTAGTAGATATGGATAGGGCAGGTAATGCCTAGGTTCTTTGAATTAGATTTGGTCACTGCCAGGTAACATATTATTTTTTCACTTTTGAAGGAGTTCTTCTATCTCTGCTATGGTTGGTGCTTCCTGTTGTTAGTCATTTACTGCCCTCCGATTCTCCACGGATATGACAGCGTCTACATTTGCGTTAAGCATCTAAGCAAAATAAGAGCCTCATCTTTATTCCTGCACAGCGTGTTTCTCGGTTTAAAACTCTTTCTTTGTTCATAGAGTCCTACGGAGAACATTATCGTTTCGTTCCGCTGTCTAAAGTTTTCCAGCGCCTCCATGTGTCTACTGTTGTCCTTCCACATCTTTGTTCTATTTAATATGTTTCTCCTGGCAGTCGTTGCCAAACCAACCTCAAACTTCTGAATCAGTTGTTAAGAGAGCTATACTACACTTTTTCCACCTTTCCCGGGCTGTCATATCTTTATTGTCCCCAATACCAGACGATTCCTAGCATTCTTTTGAGCATGCATATTAATAATGCTCAATTTACAGAATTGCTTTGCATAAATAATGCCTCGAGTTGTTTGCCAACATAAACAATAGTAATGATATAAAAAACCTTAGTGTGAGTTAAGGCAAAAATAAATACACCATGTTGGCTAACTAATTTCTCTAACCTATAATTTTTTACAAGTATGTAAAAAAATCCTGCTAAACACAACAGTATTACAATACAACAAATGCTGTTTCTATAAAATTTGTGTGGTTAGCATCTATTTCATGTTGGTAATTTTTGTTTGTTGTCTTTATTGTTTATTATACTTTAAAGTCAATATTTGTGCGTTTAATTATGGTTATTGGACCATTATGATATTGGGCAAATTGTTCAAAGATTGTGTTTCCAAATACTTTTGTCTTTTTTTGTATTTTCAGTTTGGCACATCCCTACTCATTATCTTTTTCCACACAGGAAGAATTATTCCATATATTCTTTTTCATCATTATCACAAACTTTCTTCATATCTGAATAAAGACGATACATTAAATAAATATATAATAAGCATAAAACAAGAAAACACATTTTTGGAAAATGAATTAGTGAAGAAGCAAAATTATCGGATTTTAAGATCAATACGGTAGTGAGACTGTTTTGTACTAATTCTGGTCTGGAAAAAGCTGACATTGTCATAATCATCAACGACGAGCAAAAGATACCGATAATACATAAGTAAGTTCTTGTGGCCTAAACTGGATAATATAGTCTGCACTAGGGATTTGTGTAACTATAGTACTGGAATTTTTTATCACTAGATCACACACCATAAGATTTCATTCTTTAGTGCTACCTTAAATCTGCAACATAACAAACACCATCTAGAAAATTTATTTAGATTTATGGCACAATTAAAAATATTCTCTCAAATAAATAAAGTAAGGGTGAATAATTTTAACTGTAGTTTCATTTAAAATAATCAATTAATTCGATTAAATGACGCATTCTTTAATTAAACATAAACAACTGTTAGATCTACATTTATATTACTATTATTATTAATTATTAATAACATATTTAGTTATTATAGAGCACAAACATCGTTGGAAACCAACGGTAAATGTGTCTTACAATTACAGCAATATAGTCTCTCCGACAAATATTTGTGCATATACGCACCACGCAAGTTACTCTTAATTATACTGAAGTACCAATTACATGAAAGTACCCAACCCATAGAGAAACACCGTTACAGTCTATTTAGCATTTAACCTATTTAGTATAGGTGTACTACACATTTCACAAAGATCATTTAAAATATACCTCAATTATAGAGTCATTTTTATAAATTGAGTTAAACGCAACTGTGAAATACTTTAGAAATACACATTTTCATCAAGCTTTAGAGATTATCGCAGATGGTATTAAAGAGCTCTGGTCTCGCATTTAATATAAATGTAAAAACGTTCAAGTTAAATCGCTTTATATATATTTTAATGAAACTCGCTCCGAGCTCGTCGCTCGTTATATTTAAAATTCCCTTAATTTAAATCGGTAATGCTTGGGTCCGCGTCTTGGAGGAAATTATGTGAAAAACGCATTATAAATCGCACGTTCTCGTAGTCGCGGGCACCAGGAGCGTTAAAATTCTAATTTGTTATTACCTCACTGAAGGGATTCCCACCCACCGCGGAAAGGGTCGCTAGATACGTCTGCGAAACTATTACCTTTTGCATATAAATTATGCTGACGGAGTCTCCCCGGTTTGTAATTTAAATATTTCGCATTAAATTAAAAATACAATTTACTTTGCAAACATTAAAACTTGAAATGAGAATATTAAAGAAAAATAGGATGGGGGGAAACTCCCGGAAAAGTTTTTGTTGAAAATATAATATCAGTTAAAAAATCGTTCTCCGGAGAAACTCATTTTTCGACAGAAATTCGTAATTAACGTAGAAATATTCCGATATCCTCGAGTCCGTTAGGTTTACTGCAAATTTTTTCGCTCGACTGTCGCAATATGGAGGCCAAAATAAAAATAAAAAGAATCTCTGCGCGAATTGGCGAACGTTTGCATACAATATTGTTCCTTTTTTAGGCGACGCCGCTTTAATTAATAAAAAAAATCTCTCACACGCTTGGCTGCCGTCGTATATCACGCGTTTTTAGCATCAACGATTGAATTGTCGACGGCCGCAATAAAACCGTAATCATTTTACATTGTTTTGCTGGGACTCGACCCCCCTAGAAATCGCGATAAAACACCAGAAACGAACTTTGTTATACCGTAAAACTGCAATATTAATCGAGGGGCGCGGGCGAGGTTCCAGTTTTTCGCGATTTCCAGTACCGCGTTCCGTTTTTCAACTCGGATTTTTCAACGCGCCGCCGAAATGGGCGTCATAAAAGGAATGGCCGCGATTTAATGAAAACTATAAAATATTCGCTGCTCAGTGCACTTTGCTTTTGAACTCGAATTTTTATCCTAAATTATTAATATTGTTATCTATTCTGCATATTACATTGTACCTACAAGTTCTATAATATTAATTACTATTTTTTATTTTCAGTTTTTTGTCTCGATTGATTACGGAGATCTTGTTGATGTAAGTGGACAATCTTGGAATAACGGTGGCAAAGTGGGGATCCACGGACTCGGATCAAAATCATTTTTGTTGACTTTACTGAGTAAGTAGATTCTTTTTTTTATATTCTTATTGTGTTAAGTAGACACTTATGAGATTTCACACATTTGAACGTTTTAAAATCATACTTGGCTTCACTTCAAAGTATTTCATTAAAAGTTGTCGTTACCGCTGTTGGTAGAGAGAAAAAAAATACAAACGGCTAGACGTTCGTACGGAAGGGGGCGTAAATATATTTTGCTTTCCATTAGTATTTCCTGATTTAAAAGTTGGTCGCCGGTCCATTTGACAGTAAGCTAGTTAGCAAGCGAAGCCCGAGTGCAAATCACCAAGAAAAACTTTTAAACAGTCATTGCATAAAGCAAGCTTTCAACGGGAACTTTTCAGGGCCGTGGAAGGGGTGTAAAGTGAGGATGGTGGGCGAACGTCGTGGACGTAGGAAAATTTTCTAGAGAGCTGTCGATCAATAAAATTAATTTTTGTTATTAACGATTATAATATATTGCGTGAACGCTTCAGTTTTTCTTTAATTAATTCTTTTCGAAGTAAATTCAAGTCCGGTTCTAGCGCCTTCGAAGCCTTCCTTACCCCCCTTTGGAAGCGTCGCGTCCTCCTTCTCGCTTTAATTTAATTAAGAAAACTTATTTCGCTCCAAGAATTATTTGAATTTTTATTCTTTGCTTTTTTTTCATAGCCCGTCTCACTCCGTGTAACTTTTAGTTACCCGCTCGATAGCGAGGAAAGCTCCGCTCTTTATTTTTCGAGATGGAAATTCTAATTACTTGTGAATAATACCCTTAATAACCATATTTTTTCGACGTTTCATTAAAACTGTTTACTAAGTCCCCAATCTGAATTTTCCTTATTACGAAATTCGCTTTCCCTTATTTAATTAAAACTTTGTCGTATTTACTTTAGCATTTTTCCATCACCATTCGAAAGATGCGAAAATAATATTGTTTATTCGTTTTTATCGACTGCTTTTTTATTGAAAATAAATACAGTAAAAACTCAATATAACAGATTAATACGGGAAAAGCTCGAAGGCCCGTTCGTGACGTCAGCACTGAATAACAATTAAAACTAGAACTAATATTACAGCTAGAAAGTTTCGGGTTTAGCCGTATGTCTTTAGACGTAGAAACCGAGGCAGCCGAGCTGCTGAGGCAATATTGCTAGGTTTTCAATAATGATATTATTTAGAAACCGAGGCAACTGTGCTACCGAGGCAGTGGCTCTTGTACTTAAAATAAAGTAAAGTTTTCTTTAATACAAATACATTACTTAGAAACCGAGGTAGTACTTCAAGGTTTTCAATAATAACATATTATTTAGATGCTGCGCTGCCGAGGCAGTGGTGCTAGTAGTTAAAGTAAATGAAACTTTACTTTAATTACTTAAAAGCTGAGGCTCCCAAGCTGCCGAGGCAAAATAAAGTTTTCCTTAATTTTAGTTCAATTAAAGTCTCTCAGAAATAAAGTCTCTTAAGACAGCTAAAACCGAATGTTCTACTAATGGAAAACTGGATCCTTCTTACAGAAGTGTAGAATATTATTAGCAGCCGACTAGGTACTGCTGGCCAAAGGGCTACATATTATTGGTAGAAGATTAGATGCTGCTTACAGAAGACTAGATGCTATCACTACAAGACCAAATACTACCTCCAAAAAACTAAATAGTGCTAATACAAGTAATATGGTAATTTGTGGAATGATCTGCCTTTTATCTCAATGTACTGATAAATAATCTTTAACCAAATTGTTACAATGGAATTATACTAGCCAAACAATAGTGTAAAAAATTGCCAAAATTGATACTGGTCAAACTCTAAATTGAAAGTTATTGTCTGAAATTACACTGGCAACAGTCCAAATTGTTAGAAATTGTCTACAAGCATATTTGCCAAACTCTAAATTGCAAGACATTTTCTGGAATTACATTGGAACACATCAAACCACATAAAATATGTGTAATATCACTTGGAAAACTCCAAAATATTGTCTGCAATCACACTGACAAGAGTGTTAATTGGAAGAAATTTTCTGGAATTACGCTGGCTATCTTCGAAATAGCAAGAATTGTTGATATTAAAATTCCCTGAGTATAAAGAACTATTTAAACGGTATTGATTGGGGATCTGTCTTTGCCGGGATGGACGTACAAAACATGGTTGAGGTTTTTTCCGCTCATGTTAACTTTGCTATTAATAGATATGTTCCGAAACTAATTTTACCTACAATTCCCTTGTTCGTATAATAATAATCTTTATTTGTTTGTCAATACAATACAAAAACGTCAAGAAAAAAAGCAAAAATATATCCATTCTACCAATCGTATTATTAAGGAAAAGCTACAATTTCACAAAAAGCGGAAGTGCGGTGGACGGAACTGTGATTATACAACAATCTAAAACTAGAACTAACGCTGGATCTAGAACAAGAAAGTTTCGGGTTTAGCCGTGCATCCTCAGGCCTAGAACTAGAAACGTTCTAAGGGACGCTGGCTAAACTGGAATGTTTCTAGTTCTAGTTCTAAAAATATACAACATAGCGATATCTAGATTATCTAGTGCAAACTAGCGCTGCTTAGCACTATCACTAGAACTTACATTAGACCTAGAACTAGAGACATTCGGGTTTAGCCGTTCATCTCTTAAGACGTACGGCTAAACTCGAATGTTTCTAGTTCTAGGTCTAGTGTTAATTCAATGGAAATATATAACAATCTAACGCTAAGTAACAACTAAGACTAAAACTGATCCTAGAACTACAACACTAGACCCAGAACTAGAAACATTCGGAGATAGCCGTCTAAGAGACGTACGGCTAAACCCCAATGTTTTTAATTCTACACTGAGAAAAATAATAAGGTCGATTTGCAATGTACACATTGGTAATTTGTACCCTATGATATGGTCGTATTATTCAGTTAAGATAGTAAAATTAATCCCTATAAAGAAAATTTACAATCAAGGAAGAAATTTACAAGTAATTTATCAAGTAATTTTATTCTCTATATTGTAAATTTACAGTATTGAGGGAATTTTACACCAACTTCTCTATTACGAAGACTTTGACATATGATAGCTAATCCAATTACAAAAAAAAATGTTAATGAACATATGTCCTATTTTAATTATTTACGAAATTATAACACTTTAAAGTTTTAATTTTTATATCATAATTAACTGCTACATTTATTTTAAAACATATAAATATTACAAATATTGTTCAAAATAGCCTCCTTCTGCTAGAATACATGCTTCACAACGGCGAATTAAAGAGTTCTTCAGCCAAATTAAAATGTCTGGTTGATTTCTTATTTCAATAGCAGCCATTTGTATTCTGTTTAATAACTGTTCTCGTGTGTTAATTTCCACTTGATACAAAATTTGTTTCATATGACCCCACGGGTGATCCAGGTGGCCAAGCAAATGGACCATTATTACCAATCCACTTGTTTGGAAAATATTGGTTTAACCACTCGACCACTACTCTTCCGCGATGAGGTGGGGCACCATCGTGCTGGTACCACATATTTTGAGTTACATTAAGAGGTATATCTTCAAGTAAATCAAAAAGTGTATTGTTCAAAAAATCTCTAATTTACAGCATTCAAACGTCCATCAAGTACATGCAAACCTAGTAAATTGTTGTTAAATATTCCACCCCAAACGTTGATTCTGAAACATTGTTGAAATTTCCTTGGTCTAATCGTATGTGGATTTTGTAATGCCCAGATATGTTCATTATAGTAATTATTTATACCATCTCGTGTAGAACATGATTCATCTGTCCAGAGAACATTTGAAATGAAGTGATTATTTTGGGCATGTTGCTGCAATAACCATTTACAAAATGCTAACCGTTTCTGATTATCTTCTGGTTGTAGAGCTTGAACATTCTGTTTACGATACGGATGAAGGACTTCGCAGTTAAATACGCGACATGCAAAATTTTGACTTACATGTGTGTTGTGTGCTATTTTTTTCGAGTGCTGATGAAAGGATTATCAATGACAGCATTAATTACAGCTTCCTCGTCCTCTACATTAACTACATGCGGTCGAATAGCTTTTACTGGAGCAGGATTACCTGTTTCTCGAAGTCTTCTGAAAGAATCACTAAAAACTGAATAATATGGCAAATGACGCTGTAGAAATCGTTCTTGATATTCTTGTACCGATTGTCGAGCATTTCCATTGCAAAAACCATTCATGAAAATAATATCAGCATACTCTTCAGTGCTGGAAGCGTACATTTTGAGTTTCTTCTTGTATATAATAATTAAACCTTACAGCAAACTGACATATTACAATGACAACTTTGTTTTTGTTGCATGTTTGATTTTACTGACTATTAATAAATTCGCTGCAGAAAACTTTAAAGTGTTGTAACTTCGTAAATAATTGAAATAGGACCATTAGGTTCATTAACATTTTTTTTTGGTAATTGGATTAGCTATCATATGTCAAAGTTTGATGGTGAGCTAATAAATCACCCTGTGTTGTAAAAAAAACTGTAGAAAGTTGGTAAATATGCGATAAAATGTACTGTTACAAAAAATCACAGTAAAAGTTAGGAGTACAATAAATTTATTGTAACTCATACCATAATATAGTTGTAAATTTCATAGCATTTTTCTCAGTGTAGGGCTAGTGTTAACTCTAGTTTTAGTTCAATAAAAATATATAGCGGTGAATAACAAATTAAAACTAGAACTACCGTCCTTAATTTATACACCGTATATACAACTCGGGAAATACTCCGAGCTTATCTATGAACATGAAATAGAACAACTTGGAGAATAGCCCGAATTGGATTCCATCTATGAGCGCCAACATTTATATTTAAATATACTGATGTATTAAATAGATAATATTAATGGTATGACTTAAAAATATTTTATCTGTTATATCGAGGTTTTACTGTACTAGGAATCGGCTTCTTCTTTTTTGAGTGATGCGTCCTCGAGCTGAATTAATTAACATTTCGCGTGAGCATTCATTTTTATGAGCACAATTCAACGGCAAGTTTACCGAGAA